CCCTACCCACACCCATCTCCAGTTGAACTCAGGGGCAAACACTAAATAGGGGGAAGTAAGGCTGGAGTTTATCATAATCAATGCACCTTCTGTTATTTTTATAACTTTTTCTATGTACTTTTATGTATATTTATTTTTGGTCCTGTTAGGGAAGAAAGGTAAGAGCTATACAAATCCATTCAAAGGAGGTCCCTCATTCACGCTAACCAGATGCCCTTCTCCCCCAGGCTCCCAAAAACTTCAAAGCCCACACATAGAGTCACACACACTAAGTGTGCCTCAACGATGCTAACAGATACACACTGACATAGAAATAAATACATATGGGGTGGAAATAAATCTGTTTACTCTTGATTGGAAATCCAGAAACCTGAGTTATTTTCTAAACTTTGGTACTTAATTATATGACCTTATACTAGTGACACCCTCTACCCCAAATTAGTGTTTTTTAATGAAGAAGATAGACACAATAGCTTTATTTTATTTGTTTATTTATTTTTATGTGGTGCTTAGGATTGAACTCAGTGTTTCATGTGTACTAGGCAAGTGCTCTGTTACTGACTTACAACCCCATCCCCAGGTATTAGTTTTAACATCCATTCTAAAGCTATTATGTTCAATGCAATAGTCATATCCACATGTGGCTATGCTACTGAGTACCTATTATAAAAGGCAGAAATTTTTATTTTATTATTTACCTGTAAGTTTCAATAACCACACATGGCTAGTGATACTACCATATGGTATAGCACAAAACATGTATGGAACATTGACTTAGATGATCTGTATCATCTCTTCTAGGTGGTCTGTGCTATTGTGTTCTACAGGATTCATCAAACTCACCCACTCCAAGTCTCAGAGTGTTCCTGCCTAACTAGAAATGATGATCCAGAATTGCTTTATACACATGGGGTAGGCCCTGGGACAGGAAGAAAAAAATTGGTGAGGGTCAAATTTCTACAGCCAGACTAATTATTTTATTGTCCTCAGTTTTCTATAAGCTGGTACCAAAAGATGAATTATGGCTGTCCCAGTCTCTGTGAGTGAGTATATTTGTATGTGTATGTGTATAACTACCCTATGAGTATAGTAACACTCTTTATCCATCATCCTAAAGTACAATTAGTATTGACTTGAGGAACAATTTCAGTGCTGGAGAAAAAAGCTGACTCTTGATTTTGTGGTAAAATCAATACATCTTGAAATGGCCTCTTTCTCTCTGGACTAATTTCTCATCTGTAATATGAGACAGTTGGACTAGAAATATTTATTCAACAAACTGAACAAAGCAATGAGTTAACAGCTGAGGACACAATGAGAAATCAGACATGTCATGCCCTCAAGAATTAAATTTACTATAAAGTCTAAACAAGATGATCTTTCAAGACGCCTCTCAGCTTTGAGTCAAAGTAAACTATGGATCCTTTGGCTCATAGTTACTATGTAAATACTATATGGCTAAAAATTCCCTAAGTTTCTACCCAAGTCCTACTTTATTAAGGCAGATTCCCCATCCAGCTAACTATTATCCCCCTTCTTCCTCAAAATTTCCTGTTTGGTCTTCTCCACACCAATAAGTAATTAAGAACTGAAAGATTCTAGGAAAATGAAAAGACAATATGAGATGGCAGCAGAGAAGTATCTGTCTGTGCACTTCCTGAAATGATAGAAAATATGAGTATAGGTTTATGAAGAAAATGGGGAGAGATAAAAATAAAGGGAGATAATAAATCTATGACCTATTATAGCAAATGTGGTATAATTGATGCAGCTGTACAAGGCAAAGACTCATTTTAAATGGGTAGAATATAGCCTTTAAAATAATTCAAGGACAAAGAACCAACCAGTTAAGGAAGGATAAAAGTAGAGGAGCACATTCAAGTGACAGAGAGCACCCCCCTCTCTGCCACATATATATAGTGGTGCCATCTTGAATCTCAAGGATCTACCCGCTTTCTCTTTCCTTCAGTGCATCAACTATGAATTGCCCTTCCACCATAATTCAAAACAACTGTAACATTTCAATTGGAGGGGAAGTAATAATTACCCTCTGCCTCTTTTTTATAAACTTTCCTATAGATCTCTGGGGATCCAAACCCAGTTGAAGAAATATTAGTTAGAATGCCAGCTTAGTTAATAAAACTCCCATGACAGGTAAAGTTTAGTCTTGAATCCAAATGTTATCTCCACCTTTAATGTGGGTGGACGGTCTTTTTCCCCAACCTTCATCACTACTAAAATAATCAAGGATTCTATGAAAGGACATATAGATTTCAGGGGACTTGGAGCCCAGGCTCTAGGCTGGCTATAAAGTAAGGTTGGTACCTAAAGAGATAAAACTTGAGTAAATGATGTTTTCTCAAAGCAGGTAGTAGTCCAGAAGGCCGGACTTATATTTTACAAGTCCATGAAGCCATGTTTATAAAATGCTAAAACGAGAAGAAACTTTTTAGTTTGAGTCCATCCCATTTATTGATTCTTGGTTTTAATTATTGCACTATAGGAATCTTATTAATGAATTTGGGGCCTAATCCCACATGATGAAGATTAGGGCCTACTTTTTCTTCTAATAGATGCAGAGTCTCTGGTTTAATTCCTAGGTTCTTGATTCACTTTGAGTTGAGTTTTGTGCATGGTGAGAGATAGGGGTTTAATTTCATTTTGTTGCATATGAATTTCCAGTTTTCCCAGCACCATTTGTTGAAGAGGCTATCTTTTTGTCCAATGCATGTTTTGGAGCCTTTGTCTAATATAAGATAATTGTAGTTTTGTGGGTTAGTCTCTGTGTCCTCTATTCTGAACCATTGGTCTACCAATCTATTTTGGTGCCAATACCATGCCGTTTTTGTTACTATTGCTCTGTAGTATAGTTTAAGTTCTGGTATAGTGATGCCACCTGCTTTACTCTTCCTGCTAAGGATTGCTTTAGCTATTCTGGGTCTCTTATTTTTCCAGATGAATTTCATGATTGCTTTTTCTATTTCTATGAGGAATGCCATTGGGATTTTGATCAGAATTGCATTGTCTGTATAGTGCCTTTGGTGGAGATTCCTTGGAAAACTGGGAATGGAACCACCATGTGACCCAGCTATTTCTCTCCTCAGTCTATACCCAAAGGACTTAAAAACAGCATACTCAGGGACACAGCCACATCAATGTTTATAGCAGCACGATTCACAATAGCTAAACTGTGGAACCAACCTAGATGCCCTTCAGTAAATGAATGGATTAAAAAATGTGGCATATATACACAATGGAATATTACTCAGCAATAAAGCAAATAAAACCATGGCATTTGCAGGTAAATGGATGGGAGTTAGAGAAGATAAAGCTAAGTGAAGTCAGACAATCCAAAAAAAAAATGCTGAATGTTTTCTCTGATATAATGTGTCTGATTCATAGTGGGATAGGGAGGAGGAGCATGGGAGGAATAGACAAACTCTAGATAGGGCAGAGGGGTGGAAAGGGAAAGGAAGGGGCAGGGGGTTAGCAAAGATGGTGTAATGTGATGGACATCATTATCCAAAGTACATGTATCAAGACATGAATTGGTGTGAACATACTTTATATACAAATAGAGATATGAAAAATTGTGCTCTATATGTGTAATAAGAATTGTAATGTATTCTGCTGTCATGTAGTTAAAAATTAAAATTGATTTAAAACTAACTGAATAAATAAATATAGCTTTAAATGCTAAAATGAACATATTTAAGCTCACCCCCATATAGAACCTTCTTCTTCTTTTTTAATCTGATAATATTTTGTGATTGTTTTGGTCATACATGGCTGTAGTTTGGATTTCTTTTTTTTAACTCTTTCTAAAAATTATTTTTTTTTCTAATTTGTTATACATGATGGCAGAATGCAATCCATTTCATATTACACATATAGAGCACAATTTTTCAATTGTACACAAAGTATTTTCACACCATTCATGTCTTACATACATGTACTTAGGGTAATGATGTCTAACTCATTCCACCATCATTCCTACCCCCTCTCCCCCTCCCTCCCCTTTGCCCTATCTAATGTTCCTCTATTCCTCCCATGCCCCCCCCATTGCCATTATGAGTCAGCACCCTCATATCAAAGAAAACATTCAACCTTTGGGTTTTTGCAATTGGCTTGCTTCACTTAGCATTATATTCTTCGACTTCAACCATTTACCTCAAATGTCATGATTTTATTCTCTTTTAATACGGAGTAGTGTTCCATTGTGTATATATACCAAAATTTCCCTATCCATTCATCTATTGAAGGGCATCTTGGAATTGTGCTGCTATAAACATTGATATGGCTGTGTCCCTGTAGTATGCTGTTGTTAAGTCCTTTGGGTATAAACTGAGGAGTGGGATAGCTGGGTCAAATGGTGGTTCCATTCCAAGTTTAGAACCTTCTTAATGTAACTCAACATAATTCATGTAACAAACTTAAATCATAATCTTACCCATTCAGTTTGCAACATCAAGGTTCCACCCTGAACTCCAATCAAGATACTAGGTTGATACATCTCCACTCTCCAAAAGCCAGAATTAGCATCCCACAGCTCCAATATCTCAGAGCTCAACCAAAGACCAAGAGCACTTATCTGGTCCCTAAATTCCTAACACAGAACCACTGATAGCAAGCCCAGTAATTCCAACCATCTCAGTGGGATGGGAGAAACTACTTTTAATCCAATGGAGGCAATTTATTATTGTGAAGATTTTAGGAAACAGCTCAAACTAAGGTACTCAATTTTTCCAAAACATAAGAAAGAAAGGGAATGTTTTTTTTCTGAATGTGGATAGAGCTCCAAGTGCCAAGTGTCATAAAGAAGGGAGTGGAGAGAGAGCAAGAGTGCACGCAACCGAGGAGATAAAATTTATCTTGCTTAAGATCGAGTTTCACGTAATGCCAGTTATATTAGCATATACTGATAGGATTATCTCACCCCGCCTACAAGTAGTCTAATCACCCTCCAGCATAAAAATGAGAGAGAAATGAACTAAGCAGAACACACTTACTTCTCCCTGCAGCTTCCCATCTCAAGGCAGCTGCATGATTTCCTGAGCATTTTATTGCTGGAGCTAGGGATAAAAGCTCATTTATATATACAAACAGCAATTCTCCAGTTTCTATTTTTCCTCCTTCTCTGTTCATTCTCCTCCCCAATTTGCATCAGAGAAGCCAAACTCTGGCATACTTTAAACAGTTTGAGGATTAATCTGAAAGAGGAAGAAGACTCTGTATATATTGGCTAGCAGATGTGCCCTGCCCCGCCCTCTCCCCTCTTGAAAATAGCAGCGATCCATCTTTGCAAAGAAGCTTGCCTAGAGAGCAAGCACATATAAAAATCTCCAAGGTATCCTGATTTGCTCGGCAGCTCACCAATGAAGGTTAGCTCTCCAAGGGACTCGTAGATACATTTACTGAAGACCTGGAGTCTGTTTCTGAGAGCCAGTGCAAAAGGATCCTAAACTGTGAACCTTGAAGACAGCAGGTAAGATTTGATATTTCAACACTAGTTCCAAAAGAGTATGTAGTAAAATTCAGCTGATGACAGATTTTAGCAAATTCCCTAGAGTTTTGGGATAACCAGTTTGCCCTGCCTGCTTTAGATTAAACTGCTAATATGAATTATTTCTACTTAATTTCTTGGTCAGATATTTGATAATGTAATTAGTCTGTCAATGAGTATGGCTCACAGCTTCTGCTAGGGGTTCAATGTGATGAAATATGAAGCAGGCACTCCCCAAGCCTCTAGCACCTTTGTGATCAAGCCACGTATGTAAAACTTATCTTTAAATCCTATTTAAAGGGCTCAGGGAAGTGTCTCTAATGTTGAGGCAGTTTCCTTCACTGTAGAAAGATAATACATAATGATTGCTGAAGGTAAACCAAACGGTGAAGAGTAACCTGGCATTTTCATAAGGTATTTTCACACTCGTTATCTCACTTGGACCTCTCAACATCCTATAATTAAAATAGGGTTCATGCTGCTCTTGCTCTATCAGTTTGAAAAATGAGGAAAGAAACTGAAGGAGGTTAAGAAATTTTCTTGAAACATACCACACAACTAGAAACAGGCAAGGGCTGACTAGAAATTTCAAAAAGAAAGTTCTCTCAACTGAAAACAAATATAAGAAAATTATATGACATATTTTGTAACTTAAAAGTATCTGAGATACACCAGGTTAATACAGAACCAAAAATTTATGCATTTTATAAAATTTGTGGAAAGGAGCATTTTTTTCCTTAGCAGCAAAGAAGTTATTTTTAAGGGTGAACAAATAAATGAACTTGTGGGATCTACTTCTTTGAATTTAGTGGGGTTCTGACATCCAGTTTTCTGAAATTGTTTTGAAATCTAGAGAGAGGCCACACACATACATTTAGCAACTGATTATTTAAAAGGAAAATGTAACTAAACATAGATTTCTTTGTATATTATTTTCAATATAATTATATATTTTAGAATGTAGTGTAGAATATAATGAATGGCATTGTATTTTAAACATATTAGTTAAATTTGTTTCCAGACAATTTTAAGCTTACCATATCTATTGCAACAAGTTTTATTAAAAATATTTTTTTAGTTATACATGGACCCAATATCTTTATTTTGTTTATTTATTTTTATGTGGTGCTGAAGATCAAACCCAGGGTCTCACACGTGTGAGGTGAGCGCTCTACCACTGAGCCACAACCCCAGCCCTATTGCAACAAGTTTTAATCATTCAAAAATATTTTTCTGTCATTGTTTTATTATTAATAACCCAATTAAAACTAAAAACTACCTATGTCTATACAGTAAATAACCACAAATGTTATATTTAATTCCATCTCTTTAACAAAAAAAAAAGTGCTCCTCAGCTTCCCTAAATACAGACTAGGACAGCCAAACACTTCCTGCAAATAAAGTAAGTCAGCCTGGGAACCAGTGATTTTATCTGGGATAAAAGCAAGATTCTTCCATGGTTCAGAAAATTGTAAATTTGCAGTTGCAGTGTTATTAACCAATGAGGGATTCTAAAGGGAAAGCACAGATTCTTAAGGTACATAGTCGACCTTGTAGGTTTGATACCAAGAAGAGTAACTATCCAATCTAGCAATTAGCATAACTCTGTGTGAGCTTCTATTTTGACCCATTTTGATATTTCTCAAGTTCTTATTGAACATAATTTTTCTCAAGTTTGATGTAGTCCAGTTAAACAAGTGTTGATCAAGCTCAATACAATTAGTGGCATAAAGTAAATTATAAGACATGGTTCCTGCCCTTGGGGAACTTAAAGTGTTGGTAGGACCTATAGAAGATAAATATAGAAAAGAGTAAACCAATGTCATTTTAATGGCAAAGGAGTTCAGAGAAGAAGATAGTTTGCATAGAGAAGGCTTCAGAGAGGAAACAAAAATAAGATAGTCCTAAAAGAATATCTAGGATTTGGAACCATGGTGTGAAAATCTTCTGTGTACATTGTATGTGGCCAAAATAGGTTGTTCGAATTCAATGCTGATCACAGAAATGATGTCAGAAATAAACTGTGCCAAGATGAGTTTAACAGAGAAAGACATGGTAGAAGGACCTGTAATCCCAGAAACATGGAAGGCTGAAACAGGAGGATCACAAATTTAAGGCCAGCCCAGAGAACTTAGTAAGACACTGTCTCACAGATCTACAAGAATATAATAAGGGCTAGGGAAGTAGCTCAGTGATGGAGCAACTTTTATTTGAATACCCAGGACCAGGATAGAGCATAGACCAAAGAACCTGATCTGGACTGAGTAAAGAGATTTGGGTTAGAGAATAACAGAAAATAAATTTGAATAGAAATTTATGGGTGAATTATTAGATACTGAATCTCCAGCACTTTCTAATGGGAAATTATCAGTAAACTTTGAATATGTAAAGACTTATTAGAAAAACATTGTGAGTAAATGAATACAACAGAATTTCATCAGTTTCACTATATTTGGTGAAAACTAGAAAATAAACTTAGAAGTTAATGAGGCTCTAGGTTATATTGGTGACAGTGGCAATGGAATGAGAGGGACTCAAGAGGCATTTAAAAGGAAAAATAAATGAAAGTTGATGAGTGAGTACATGCAATCATCATAGGAGAGGAATACATCAGATATTGCATTCAGATATGTCTGAAGTTTTAAGCCTGTGGAATCTGGGCAGTGGTATCACTGCTATTCACAGAAATAGGTAACTTGGGGATAGAAGCAGGAATGCAGGACATGATGAGTTCTGGGTTTGATCTATTGAGTTTGAGGCAATGAAAAGAATTCAAGGAGAAATGTCTGATGGGTGATGAGAAAAATAAAGGCCCTAAATATGAGAGATGGATAAAAGATGGAGGCAAAGTTAAATCTGGAGAATGTGGTAGCCAAGACTATAAAATAAATCAAAATTTGTTTAGAGAAAACATATCAAAGAGATGACCATGGACATAAATGGACAGTGTCTACCTCTTCAGAAAAGAGAAAGTGGACCTATAGAAATAAGAACTACAGAAATATAATTCTTATTTTCCTCCAAAAATGCCAAGAGTCTTGAGGGAAGGTACCAGGTTATTTATTTATTTTTTTAAATTTCCCCCACCCAACAATAACTATCATGGTGCCTCATACACACCATAGTCCCCAAATAAATGTTGAGTTATTCTAACATAAGCAATATTGGGAGTTTTTGCTTCAAGGTATCTCATAGCTTAACAGTGGTTATTCTAAACTATCTTGTTGCACAGGTCTCAGTGGGAAGGATTCTGGGCCTGGAGAACTGGGATTTCATCCTCACTTTGATATTTAATCAGCTGTGTGCTTTCTAACAAGTTACTTAACATCTCTATTTTTTTTATTGGTTGTTCAAAACATTACAAAGCTCTTGACATATCATATTTCATACATTACATTCAAGTGGGTTATGAACTCCCATTTTTACCCCGTATACAGATTGCAGGATCACATCGGTTACACATCCACATTTTTACATAATGCCATATTAGTAACTGTTGTATTCTGCTGCCTTTCCTATCCTCTACTATCCCCCCTCCCCTCCCCTCCCATCTTCTCTCTCTACCCCATCTACTGTAATTCATTTCTCTCCTTGTTTTTTTTTTCCCATTCCCCTCACAACCTCTTATATGTAATTTTGTATAACAATGAGGGTCTCCTTCCATTTCCGTGCAATTTCCCTTTTCTCTACCTTTCCCTCCCATCTCATGTCTCTGTTTAATGTTAATCTTTTCCTCCTGCTCTTCCTCCCTGCTCTGTTCTTAGTTGCTCTCATTATATCAAAGAAGACATTTGGCATTTGTTTTTTAGGGATTGGCTAGCTTCACTTAGCATAATCTGCTCTAGTGCCATCCATTTCCCTGCAAATGCCATGATTTTGTCATTTTTTAGTGCTGCATAATACTCCATTGTGTATAAATGCCACATTTTTTTTTATCCATTCATCTATTGAAGGGCATCTGGGTTGGTTCCACAGTCTAGCTATTGTGAATTGTGCTGAACAAATATCTCTATTTTTTAATTTCCTCATGCATCAAATGGGTATTTTCCAAATCTATTAAAGTGATAAATATGAAAGCAACTGAAAATTCACACCATTCAATGGGTTTTTTTTAAATTCCATCCATTCCAGGACGATAAAAACACACAACATAACCAATTGCATGTCAACGGAGTAGGACCAGTTACTTTCTACACCTTATATGACACTTCTTGCTCAGGGGCTTCACTCTTTGTCTTAGCAGTCTCCTCCTACTCCTGGTCCTATTAATAGGATCCAGCCTTCTGGTTGCCATTAGCCCTGCAAAATTCTGCACATTTCAATGTGAAGAAAATATTCTAGTATTTAAGAAGTATTTCTGTAAACACATTATCTTTTTTTCATTAGCTATTACTTCCATGAAGCCCATTGATTCTTAAGATTAAAAGCGAAGGATAAAAATCATGTTGTACAACACGTTATGAATGCAATGTAATATTTGACTATTCTGTCTTTAAGCCATTTGTACAGCCAGAGATTTGGTTGTAATACAAATCATGTTCCAAGAATATATAAGTATATATACTGCATGTGTCTCTCCATAAAATTCAAAGACTTAAAACCACTTTTATACCTTACTTCAGTATTGTTTGCATTTCTGTCTGACATGGACATCTGTGTAATATGATTTCAAGGCCAGTGAGGAAAGCTTTCTCAGGCATGAGCAAATTCCTGAGAAATATTTGTACTAATCAACACCACAAAAGAAATGGATTCATAAGTCAGAATGCCAATTTGTTGTTTTGCAGTGAGGAAATACAACTGCCAAGAAGTCTGATAGACTAATAACAAGTAGTAGCATATGCTCATTTCTACAAAAAAAAAAAAAAAAAAGCAATAAAGGAAGTCATTTAGTCCAATTAGATAAATACAGACATCTTAAGTCCATTAATGCATGTTACAATCTTGGTGCTAAAACACCCTTAAATGACAAATATTTTAGC